TTTTTTTTGTGTTTCCTTTGTTCTTTTTTCAGGTTCTGATAAAGAATGCAATAACAATCATGCATGCAATAACATCAAGAAAAGCAAAAAAGGTTCACAAATAAACATTATGGCTTTTATAAATATATAGTTCAAGACTTCTGATCATTATTGTTCATTTCATTCGGCCAACTTTCGATTACAGAGAAATTACGACATCGAATTCATGACCGTGAGACACGAAATAACCCTAAACTGGATTCATCTCAAACTACAGAGGTTCAAAATTACAGGTGTGTGTTCCATTTTTTAGATTCTGACATTGTAACTCACTTTTAAACACAGCAAGTCATTTGGAAAAAGCCAAGTTATATATAAATGATGATTTTGATGCGTACTTTATTTTATTCGAGTAGGATTTTCGTGGCGACATGGAATGTCGGTGGTAAATCCCCTCCGAGCCATTTGAACCTCGAGGAGTGGCTTCACACTTCGCCTCTAGCCGATGTTTATGTTCTCGGGTAAGCTAATTAGTCAGTCGAATGAGATTAGTTTTCAAAATTCTTTATACGAATCAAGAAAATTGCATATCTTCTTATTACTACATTATACTTTACAGATTTCAAGAAATTGTCCCGTTAAACGCTGGGAATGTCCTCGGCGCAGAAGATAACGGCCCTGCAAGAAAATGGCATGCCCTTGTAAGAAAAACACTCAACACTACTTTTTCGAAAGATGAGTTCACGGGCCCGGTTGGTTATTATTCTTACCCGTGCTGCCATTCTTCGCACTCAACGAGCCGAATGATGGATAGCAGAGGAATTTGCGATCAGACGATTTTTGGGTCGGGCGATTATGGTTATAATTATTGTTCCTCTGGTGAAGAAGAAGAAGAAGACAATTTTGCCGGGAGTGATTGTAATCTGCCGCCACCTATCTCCTTCGGCCATTCTTTCTCGGCCGGTCAGTCGAGTTACTGTTTAGTGACGAGCAAGCAAATGGTAGGGCTGTTTTTGATGGTGTGGATAAGGAGTGATTTGAGTGAAAATGTTCGCGATTTGAGCGTATCTTGTGTCGGTAGAGGCCTAATGGGTTATCTTGGTAATAAGGTGTGTTTTTTGTTTTGTCTATTCCATGTTACTATTTTTGCGAAAAGCGCGTTCGGCTTCAGAAATTTTTGTTAGATTGCATAAAAATGGTTATATTATGTTATGTTTCAATACAGGGTGCAATATCAATAAGCATGTGTTTAGAGAAGACGAGCTTTTGCTTCGTTTGTAGTCATTTGACGTCGGGTGAGAAAGAAGGTGACGAGCTCAGAAGAAACTCGGATGTGATGGAGATTCTGAAGAAAACGAGGTTCCCACAAGTTCACGATAAGGGCTCACCTTGCACGATTCTTGATCATGAGTATGTAAAATTGTTCTGTATTTTACATATAGCACATTCTCTTCTGAAATGTTTACCTAAAAAAATATTATGGTTATGTTTGATAACAAAATAAGCTAGTTTATAGTTTATTT